ATATTTATATTGTGCAAATTAACATGTGGATATGATCAAATGTGCATCACAACACTTTTCAGGGGACTTTGGCCAGACTGCATCAGCAGTTTACAAACAATCGAAGGAAACTTATTTGAAGATGCCTCCTCCCCCCAATTCCCAGTAAACAGGCCAGATCACATCACAGTAATCTCGTCAGTGGGTTCTTTAACGTCCCCTGCCTAACCAAATTAACTAATGAATAGATGCAGGAGACAGGACCTACAGTTTATTCGTCCTTATCCGAGAAGATTAGAATGGCTATATCCATTTCTTATTAAAGAAAGGTAGCGCATTACATTAAAACTGACACCGTTTGTGAGTTTCGTTGCACTTATACCCATAACGAAACTGTGTCCGAAATCACCTTTACGTACTTTGCTACAGCTTTGTTTAAAGCAACATAGGTATATCCATTATGCGCAAAGAAGTTCGCAACCAAAATTAAAACTGTTTACATTTTGAAAGATCTGAAACAGAGTACGTGAGAATGAACATATTATTATCACATGTCTACCTGCGCTCGGAGTAACTGAGCGTGCCAGTAATTTGCTCTCGTCGCATGACCAGCAAACTCTTCATTGATTCCTTCCAATCTACGAAAAAAGTAAGTTCACATTCATTAGGTCTTTTTTTCTTTCAGAACGAGACTAGTCAAGAAATTATTCACTATACCGAATTCTCTGACTACCTGTTCTACTGTGTGTCACAATCACCTAAGACACTTCAAACTACTTCTAGTGTTAAACTACTTTTCCCAACGATCTGCAACAAAACAATTAACATACTGACAATGACATCACAATACTGAAGCAAAAGAGGACTTTTCGCGGCGGCCATTTTAATACTCCAATAAGAAAGAACGACAGCCGCGCTGTTGTGCCAAGCCCATCCTGAGGGATTTAAACTATTTTCTATCGTAAAGAGGTTTACAAAATTTTGTTCCAGTTCGTTTTCATAGCTACTCAGCACGCCAGTGAAAGTACTCTATACAAAGTTTAAGACACTGGAAACTTACTCTTTAGCAAGGACCATCTTTAATTCGTTTTCACTCCTATCAGACTTTGTGGACATCCATGGAGTCTCCATGACAATCTGCAGTGAAAGAGATTATTATTGTTGTTTTTTGATGTTGTTGTTGTTGTTCAGTGTTGTCGTCATTTCTTAACAACATTCAGTGAGTGGCCCACAAAAAGGCTACTTACATAACAAGCCATACCTCATACATCACTACCAAACTACCGTTTTCTTTTTATTTTCTTCGCTCTGACGCTCGAAACGTCGGCTTAAAAACACTTTGCGGTGGCCAATTTACCGAGTTAAACTACCAGCTTCTGGTAGTTTAACTCGATTTTTAATTCATCGATCTCTACGGAACTAATTTTAGTCTCCCTCGCAGCGGCTGCGAGGGAGACTAAACTAATTTGGGAATTGTTCCCCGCTACAAAGTCATAACATCCCATGCAAAGGAAAAGGTAACTCCCGTTGGGCCACATTTCGATGGAGAAATGAAAAACCAAAACTAAAATGATATGACAGTGAGACACAATTAATAATAGCAATAATAATAAAAAAAAACAGGCGAGTGTCGAAATCGTGTTTGGTTATATCGTTCTGCATGTGGCTGATTGAGAGGGTAATACGAGTTTTCTAAAGCAATCAAAGAGTAAAATAAAGCAAAACCAATCTTGGATCACTTTCCTACACTCATTGGAAACTTCCTCTTGAAGGTCTCATAGCTAGTTACTTATACGAAACTGACCTGTTTGGATGGTGTGAGCTGGGGCGAGAGTGAGGCAAGTTTTGCGGGACGTCCACCAAAAGAGAGAGACTGAAACACACAAGAAAACGAAAGGGAACATAGTCATGACAAGGGATTTTGGCCACAGACTATAAATCACATTCTCGATACGTCACTGATGTGGTTTTTGCGAGGACCTCAAGTGGATTGAAGTCGATGTAAACCTTAAAATTCTCCTCTGTCAATAATCTCGGCTGCTTCCGTCTCAGCGTAATGTAACTGATCAGGTTTATCCACATAATCCTTTCCACTTTAATCAGTTACTTTATTGTCACTACCCCGATTCTCTTGTCATGATACGTAATTAAATACAAACAGCTTTTTGAAAAGAAAGCAAAAGAGAGCTGGAACTTATTCAGTCTGCAAAAAGGCTTACATAGGCGCAGCGAAGCTAAGCTCTCCCCCCCCCTCCCCCACGCTAACCTCTACTAAACTCAAAAACGCCAAAAAATGACGCCTGCTCTGCAGACTAGCGCTTATTCTGGTTTCAATAACATGAAGTAAACGGTGTAGTACTTCTACTCCTTAAGTGATATGCTACGTTGTGCCAGCTCTTCCCAATCTCCTCAACAATCCATTGAGTTCCCCCCCTAACAGTTCACTGGTAACCCATTTAGAATTAGAATCGTCGGTGCAAGAAAAGACGTGCCATTCTCAAGAACATGGCATACTGATCCCTGGACACGAAACCCAACCTATCGATCCACAATCAACACGCCAATCGATAGGTCACCGTGTCTCCAATGATCAAAGCTGAGCGGGCAGCACTAAAATATAGAGTGTGGACAACCAGTAAGTGGATTGCTCTTTAGACCAAATAGACTATTTACCTGACGATGGGATGACGAAGTCCGTGTTTTCCCTCTCTCCATGTAATCTGCAAAGAGAGCAGACAAAGAACAGGTCAGGCCCCGGTTGTTCAAAGGTTTGGATAACGCTATCCGCTGGATAACGCTATACGTTTTGCTTTCACTTATCCGCCGGATAGCGATTTATCCGTTAGATAGCGTTTCCATCTTTTATACAACTGGGCCCTTAACTTTTGCTTCTGTTTCATTGTTCTTGCTGTTTTCTTTCTCGGAAAAATAAGGTGAAAGAAGAGGAAGACAGAACCTAGAGATAAAACAAACTTTTTCATTACTTGAAGACCTTTTTCCTGTTGCTATAGCCGAGTTTAAAAATTTTTCCTTAAAAAAAAAAAAAAAACTTCCGCCTAGATTAATGGAGGTTATTAGCACCGTACCAAGCATAGCTGTGACCACAGCCAGTGTAGATTTCAACAAGAGCTGGTTTCCTTCGGTCTTGTTGAACAGTAATGACTGTCCTACTTCGTAAAAGCCAAGGGAGGCAAGGAGCTGCTGCAGCTCGGGATTGTACCACAATGAGCGGAGGACAAAGTCACTCGTCTTCATGATCCTCTCAGGGTAACGACTGCTTAAGCTGAGCTGAGGCGGGTAAAAGAACGTATGATTAGGGGCCGACCATTTAACTTTCGAGGGGGGGGGGTGGGTGATTTCTGGTCATCAAGAATTTTTTTTCTATAGCAATGTGCTGTGCAGGATATTTTTTTTTCCGATTTTTTTATACATTTTTTCTGTTACATTTGGGCTGCATGCAATTTTTTTCTTCCAACAAGCGCTTGCAGGAAATTTTTTTTCAAAATCACCCACCCCCCCTCAAAAGTTAAATGGTTAGCCCCTTACATAATGTATTGGAACGATTATAAATAAGATAAGTGTCGGTAGTTATCTATTTATAGAAGCAGTCGTGGATATATATCCAGCTTCATTGGAGAAATCATTGCTGCATGCCGAGTAACTGAAGTGATAAGATACTTACAAATTCTTTGAGCTTTTCCATCGTGTTTTTCTTCAAAGTGTTTGTGATCTTAGCTAAGGCGTAACCTCCACTGGAAGATTCCTTCAAGATATCTACACAATTGAAATAGTAAATAGAAACAAATACTTAAAAAAAATAAATAAACAATGAGCAAACAAAATGGGAAAATTATGCACGTTTTTCAGTCCTAATTTTCCATAAACGTTTGAAGAAAGACACATCCCAAAAAAACAGTTCACCCAACAAATTGAGATTTTTTATTTGCAATCTGTTCAAGGCTGTAAAACCTCAACCATTCTCGTCTATTTTTGGTTTATTCTACCTGTTTTGGTGATTTTCTATTTTACCAAACAGATAATTTGTGCTTTCTATGCCATGTGAGGCAATTTACTTTTACTAAAACGAACGTGGGTCATCGAGCAGAGTTGTTTATAACTCCTTCGCCTTGCAATAACCTTTACGTTCAACTCGAACACAACTCGTACACGACTGCTGATGACACTTGAACGCCTCTTACCACAAACAGCCGGCAGGACTTGTGACGTCATTGTCAGGGTCTCGTCAGGGTCCCAGTGAGGAAACACAACGAATGGATCCTTCTCGTGTGCACCATCCTTTTGAAAGTCAAACCCTAAGAAGACGAGGAACTCTCTGGCGCAAGGGGACTCCAGGACATGGGAGCTCAGTTGTGCACACATGGTTGGGTCCCCCTTCGAAAGGAGCTCAGGATGGTGAGTCAACAAGAGCATTTGATGAGCCAACTGAATCTGAAAGTTTAAAAATAGAAAGAGAGTGAATGGCCAAGGGTTTACTTAAAATTAGTCATTACGTAAAACACTCACAACAAAGCGAATACTTCAGGTAATAAGGTTTGGAATTGCGAGTCAATACATCTCATACCATCTGAGAAAAGACCGCGGCTGAGATCAGAGAGATTGGTCAGTAGACGGTTGTGCGACTAATGAGGGGTGGGGCACATGGCCCCAACATACACTTGGTAAATTCAGACTTGATTATCCACGATAAAAAAAAATGCATCTATCTTGTATTCATAAGAAGTCGATCAAATTAAAAACATTGTAATCTGCTAAGATAAATATTTTCCCAATGTTCCATGGTAACATGATACACGACTAACAGTTCCGGATTTGAAACGTAAAATTTACCCCAAATGAAGGCTAATAAATACATGACACAGAAATAACCAGAATTAATTGGTGGTGCACGCATGAAGTTAGCCCCTATCTTACCAAGTCCCGGAGAGCTGGCAGCACATGCGACACTGATGTGTGCTCTAACAAGAGCTGTGTCAGCAGTTCTTGAAATTTCTTCATTTTAAACGCAACTGAAGGAACTGCCAAGTTAAATAAAAACACCCAATATTAAAAAAAAGGTTCTATTGTAAGACACCTTAAAACCCTTTTAGCTTTCAAGATCTGACCGGGAATTCTCCTTTCTAGCTGCTATACATTTCTCTGTAAATTAGTTAAGAGAGTTTGGTGTTATATCGAGATATCACCCACGGACCGATAAGTATGTCTCTTATCATCACCTGTTTGTGGATCAGGTAATGCTATTGTTGGCAGACGTCACATATCACCCACGGACCAATAAGTAAGTCTCTATCATCACCTGTTTGTGGATCAGGTAATGTTATTGTTAGCAGACGTTACATATCAATCAATTCTCGCCGTTGAAGGGTTGAAAGGCTCACTGCTTCAAAACATGCGAGATTTATTCAACTCAAAAATGCAACTCAGTTTTTTTCCTTCCGTTCCTGAGACTTTGCTTATCACTCTAAGATCGCTATCCTATTCTCGGAGCTTGCCTGTCAGATTATGCAGTCCATGATTGGAAAGAGATGTGTAAGAGCCGAATATTGCAAAAGGTATACGTAATTGAAGAGTAGACTCTCGCTATCCGTTTAAACCGCATAGAACGAGCTTCACCATAACTTGTTGATAGAAAGCTCTTTTAAAATCAGAAAGAACAAAACTGCCAGACTAACCTTTGCTGTCCAGTATCTCTGCTGTGACCAGAGGAAACCTCTCCGGAGATGAACTTTTTACCACTTGATCCAATACCCCATCAAATAACTGATATCTCAGCTTCATAAAATCCACTGTGGTGTCAAACCCAACATGAACAAATGACGCCCAGGAGTCTGGGGCCGACATGTGCTCGACACTCCTCAAAAGAGTCCAGGCTTCTTTTAGTGATTCACTGACAGTTCGGCCCTACAGACAACGGTTAAAAACAAATACTCAATAATCTCGAAATCACTCTGACAGACTGGCAATAAACAAATGAAGCGCTACTCAATTACGTTTTTCGCGCTCTATCTGGTTTGCGGTTCACGATAACATTGAAACTGACTCCCGTATCCTCCAATTTTCAATGTTTGCTTTCCCGCTTGCCAGAGCGAAGGATTTGGAATTATTTGGATACACTACGAAAAGTTTGTTCAATCAAATATTTGAATTCCTTTTCATAACCGGTTTTTTACTGCGATTTTTGCGACGTTTTTCCCCACGATTAACACTTCGTTGCTTTTCTCTTCACGGGGAGGAAGAAAGTACGGAAAAAAAGACCGACGGAAATAGAGTACGTTATTGTACATTATTCTAGGTTATTGTACGTTACTGTACGTTATTCTAGGGCTTCATCATGCCATAACTGGCTGACTACAAGACATACCTCTTCCAAACCACTGTAGAACTTGTAAAACAAGTTAAGCATTGTAGCCTGAGGGGCAGACCACAGAGGTATGATCACAGACTGTGCACCAGCAGCTAGGAGTGCTGTGGCCAGATGGAAGCTTGCATGCTTTAACTGGCAATACTGGTGGCCACACCCACAGCATGCATTTAACACAACAAGCTTAGTAGACAATTTTAACATGGCTATGTCCGACACTTTCACTAAGAATGCATCTTCTGATGGAGGGTCACCATAATGATGTGTGTTTGGAGACAGAGCAATGCAGGCATCTGGCCAGCTTCCGTAGGTCACTAAATGAACCACGCTTGTTTGGGGCAACATCGTAAGGAAGTGCTCCTTGGTTGCCCGATGACCCGAAATTGGATCCACTCCCAGCAACGACGCAATAATATTCACTTCCTCTTCTGCGAGATCAGATTGTTTCCTTGGACTCCATACCTTTCCATTCAAATCTACTTTTGAAATAGTTGGATTTCCTTGAACAAGAATCTTGGAAGAATCCGCCACTTGCTTCTCTGCAATTGACGACTGTGGAAGCATTTCTCCTTTCTGTGAAATTGTTCTAATGCATGGCAGAGTGCGGACATTGAAGAATTCATGTAAGTATTTCCCTTCTTTTTCTTGTAAACAAGCAAAAGGAACTGAATTGACCTCCAAGTCTGGAATAATAACCAGTTCACTGACACCCCTTCCAAGCTCAATTTTCAGCTGATCCTCAATAGGACCTAGAAGCAGATGGTACAACTTCTGAAGCGGAGTTAGTTTGGTAGAGTAAAGAAATTCACAATGATAGCAAAATTTTTTGCCTTCTCTTTCATCCGCTGACTCACTGCATTTCCCTGTGACAGAGTCAGGTAGAGCTCGGTGATCACAATGGTAGCTCTCCTTGCGGGTGCCATGAAACTGTTTGATACAATGTTTAATTTTGTAGGCAAAGGTAGAATGGTCACAACTCTTGTGCCAATGACATTTCATGACGCCCTTCCCTGGTGACAGAACCCACAAGAGAAAGCCAGTAGGAATAACAGAAAAGAACAACAATGTTGCTTGCTGCGAATCAATGATACCAATAATATCCTTTGCTGAGTATGCTGTAACAAGCTGCTGACATGGTGTTGACAGGGCCTCTGAATTGGCAAGAATTTTCTTATGTCTAATAATGCTTACAAGAATTCTTGATCTGCAATGTTCAGCAATTTCTAAGGCCTCCTCTTCCAAATTCATCTCTATCAGGGCTTCTTGCAGGTCCTTATAACACTGATCCAGCTTTTCAAGCAAGGGATCTTTGTAAATCAACATATTGCCACACTTTGACAACAGCTTGTCTTCCAAGATGGGAATGGCTTTGTTGAAGTAATGGCGGGAAGTTTCAAAATTTCTCATGGCCTTTGAAATCTGTGCAAGGGCAAGATTACATTCCAGTTCTTCTTCTAGATCATTTTGCTCAACAGCCAACTTCAAACATGTGTCATAATAATATTGAGCATGGTGTAACTGGTGAAGGTCTTTGTAGCAAGCACCAACAAGTCCATATGCCTTACATTGAAGCTCCTCCATCTTGTTCAATCTGGATAGCTGCAAATGTTGCTCAAAATAACCAAGAGCTTTGGCATGCTCACCCATGAGTTTAAACAGGCATCCAAAGTTCCTTAATGCAATAACTTCTGAGACTTTATCATTCAAGTTCTGAGCAAGTTTCAGGTGTTGTTAGTGATTGACAGTTGCTGAACGAAAGTTTCCCATGTTTGCATACACGGTGCCAATATTCCCAAAGGCATAGGCAGCACCATCACGGTCATTAAACTTCTTGCAAAGTTGCAGTTCAATTTTGTGGCACTCCAAAGATCTCTCATAATTACCTTGCAGTAATTCCAGCTCACCTAGATTTGAGTAAGCTGTGGTGAGATTTTCCTGGTCAATAAATTTCAATACATCCATGTACTCTTGTGCATGGTGTAAGGCTTTTTTGTAGTCACCCATGAGTTTGTACGCTGCAGATAAATTCCAGACTGCTCTTCGTTCAATGTCATTATTCCAGTATTTTTGGTATTTTTCTTTGTCCTCACCACTCCTCTGCAGATCTCTTCCCACAGCTAACAGCTTGCCATTGTAAGACACAGCTTGAACATACTGCGCCAGTCTGTGATGGATGTTTGCAATTTTAACATAGCACTTTATCTCATATTCTTTTTCCTTGAAATCTAAAGCAACAGAAAGACACTTTTGAGAGACAGAGAGAGCTTTACTGTATTGATACAAACAGTAGTGAGCTTCAGACATAACAAGCAGTGCCAACATAACTGCTCTGCCATTCTGCAGTGACCCTTGGCTGTCCTCACGGCTTTCTTTTTCTTCTGTTCCATAGTCACCAGTCACAACATAAATTGATGCAAACCCATAGCCAGAATGGGCGACTTCTGAATCAAACTCGTTAGAGACATGGTTGCGGCTTTGCATATCCTTGTTTGTCTTCTCAAAATCTTTTACACCATGCTGATGTTTGATGCTTGCTTGTGAGTACAGCAGTTGTTCATCCCAACCATAATGTGCCTTTAAGGCTGTCCTGATGACACTTATGCAAATCTTGTAATTTTCTGTTTCATACAACCTTTTACCAAGTTGGACAAAACTCTCAAAGTTTTGAAAGCTTGCTCCTGAAATTAACCAGTTTAAAGCCATGTGAAGCACAAATACCACGTAAAATCTAAGAATTAAATTTATGTATATGAAAGGTTTCATTATTACAAAATGAAAATTACTGACTATATGATTTGTTCATTAGCTTTAGTGGTCAATCCAGACCGTGAGCAAGGAAAGGGGAGTGCACCATTTCTGTTTTGAGGTTTTAGGGTCTTAGCCAGATGGTAAGCCCTTGAATCATAAAATCTTGAGCTTTCTACACAGGTCAGGATTAAGCATATAAACCTACTAGCAAGCCTAGGCCTACAGCAGTGGTTAAGATAGTCAAGATAAGTGAGAACTATTCACATATCAAAAGATTGATAATATTTTCACTGTACCTTGATCTGACAGAGAAATTTCTTCCATCTCTGACATCTGGCAAATGCATCCAACAGCTCCAACAATGCTTACCAGGAGTTCAGTTGGGTGTGCTGGGTCCAGCTCATAAGCCTTCAGGTATGACCTTAAACATTCTCTATAATTTCCAAGGTTTTCAAGTGAGACAGCTCTCAAGAAATGGCCCTATGTGCCAAAAGGATGACCATGTTATTTTTTTGTTTTAACCAGACTGGAGATCCATACAAATTAAATTAAGGTAAATGCATGGTAAATTTTCCATTTGCAACAAGGGGCCCATTGGGCCTGAGCTTATTCTAGTTTTTGCATCATAAAGGGACAACAAGTATGCACTTTTTTCCAAGAACACTTTTTTTAGGTTTCCTTACAAATTACCAGTACTCAATTACTCCTCTTGGTGAAAAGAAGTCCTGTTAAAGTTAGATTCTTTCCTAAGAACATGATGACCCAACAGAGGTTTAACCTGGAGCCTCTAAACCCAGAATATGAAAAAACACATAAACCCTTTAACACCCCTCATCTCTTGCTTACAAATTAAGAACAGTTTTAAAAATGGAAATTTACTGTATTATCCCCCAAAAAATTATAAACACTACCATAACACATATCAAAGCTATTTTCCTCCAGCCCTGTAGTTTTAAAAAATGGGTTTAACACATTCAGTCACATACTTTAGCTGTTGAAATCTGATCTGTGACTCAAGTGACTAATTTATTTATGATAATAGCAATTTTATTGTAAAATTTTATAACTGTTATGCTTGCAATCAGAAACTGAATTTCTATAAACTTCTTCAAAATTTAATGTACTTTACCTTGGGTTTCTGTGGAATTATGCTTGTGAGAGCTTCAGCATCCTTTTTGGATTCATTGAACATGCCTAACTTGGCATATACTGCCGATCTACAGCCAAGAATTCCTTCATCATGAGGTGAAAGTATCAAAGCATCAGAGTAAAAGCTAATGGCTTGAAGGAATTGTTCATTTTTGAAGGCTCTGTCTCCCTTTGAGCAAAGTGCTTTCAACTGCAAATTTAGAGGTGAAAAAAAAAAAAACAACAACAACAACAACCTTGTCATAATTCATCTTTGAATCCTCTCATTTTAATAGCTCAGGGTGTCAAAATCAGCATATTTCAAAATCACCCCTTATAATCATAAAATGGTTGCCAGAAGAAAATATTCTAGGCACCAAAAAAAATTATGCAATACTTAGATCATTGTCAGTTTCTGAGCAGCTGTGTACCCACCCCCCCTCCCCTGACCCAACAACAGTTAACTGATAACAAGTTAAGGTTATTATTGGATTAGGGGGGACTGGGATAGGTGCACATTGGCTCATATACTGATAATTTGATCCCTATTTTTATCTTTGGCTCCATGCTTGAGCAATATGAAGCAAATCTTGTGTTTTGATTGGCTACTGAGCAAGAAAAACAGGTCTGGATTGCCTGCTTTGATCCTGTGCAAGAAAACCATTGCAGGAAGCAGACTTCCAAAGCTCATACTTTTTGGACAATGTTGATGATGGAGTCACAAAAAAGAAGCAGAGGACAGTCAAAACAAAGAAAACATGAATGATTCTCACGGCTTTATTGCACTACAAACACAATTGGCTATCTTTCCCAGCTCTCAAAATAACCAAGTCATTCTTGATTCTTAATAAAACAATTCTTTTTTTGCTCTGTAATAAATCCTTCATTGACCAAGCCTGTTTGGTCGTGATGGCTGGATATTAACCTCGTTCTTTTTTTTTTGTTTTCGTTTCCAATGTTTTTCTTACAAGCCATAGGTAACCAAAATGGCTGCAGCTGGTGCTTGAAGCCACTGGCCTCCATTGCCCTCTTTACTATAGACTAAATTTGATGCAGTAGGAATACCACAGCAGACGGCGAACAGGGATTAAGATGCTGTCTTGGACAGTCAATTAAAATGTTCATCATG